AATGGTTCAGAGCATTAGCATGACAGATTCTGAACCCCGGGCTACTCCCAGGGAGTTATTCTTATACAGACGGCCACCCACGCCTTACATGTGGGGTGACTCTTATCTACCTTTGACACACTAAAACGGAGAAGTTCATGTCTAGAGACCACACAGAAGAAAAGAAGAAGTTCATACAGAAGGCTTATCTTGCCTCACCACCCTGGCGGGTAATATCTTACACCATCTGTGACTTTCAGTTGTCACTTCTTGTAAAAGGTTGTTTCTATAGAATTGGCACAGGTTAAATGGATTTTAAACATAATTAAGCTCAATTAAGCACAATACAATACTAACATACAATATTCCCCTTATTGATATAACAAAACATCTTAAAGCATTTTCTTATGACCTTTCTCATCTACCTCAGTAGGACTATTGAGGACGGTGAAAAACCAGCTCTATCTCCTTCTAAGCCTCTAGCTAGTCTTGCAATTACCACTGATTTGTATTTTAGAAAAACGCCTTCCTTCTTTCCCTACAATTGGTCAAATAAGGCACATAAGAACTGCCAGGAGCCAAAGAATGGCTCAAAAGCAGGAATGAGAAATACCGTACTTAAGGCAACTGTGTTTGTTGGTGTATTCATCTGGAATATTTATATTCCACCTTTCATCCATCCTGAATCTCAGGATGACATACATGGGGGATTTCCAAGCAGACTCCTATCTGGGCACTGACCAAATTTGCTAAGCTTCAGCAGCGGGGCTGTTTCATCTGACCATACTCTTCCATGCCTTTTTCAGTAACTCAAGTGCCTCTTCCTAACCATGGTGCATTAATTTTCTTTTCGGTATTAACCATTATGTACTCAGCTGTATATTATCTAGATCAGAGGTGGGAAACTTTTATGGCCCATTGTGGAACTTAGCCTGTTTAGTTGTGCATTGAACAACAATCCCACCATGCCAAAGACTAATTTAATAACCAATTTAAACCTTCTGCAAACACAGAAGACAGAAAAATTATATGGACTTCTCCTTATACCGTATCATTATTTCAAAATAAACAAACAAACAAGCAGAAGAATGAATATCAAGTTATTGACGAACTTTTATCGAAATAAATGTGCAGACGGTTAGTTTAAAGTGGAAACAGGCTTTCTTGGAAGCAGGAAGAAGCCGATGGATTTTCTGCAACTAGAGGCACAGAATCTTCTGCTCTTCAGTGCAGGAATAAATTTCTCCATATTCAAAATCAAAGCTTTTTGTAGCTGCCCTCTACAGACGTGCAACCAACAACACACATTGCCCACCCCAGAAGCTGTACTGGCTGGGGATGGTAGGTGTTGTAATCTCAACACATTTACAGGATACCAGGATGTTTTTTGTTTTTTTGGGAGACTCCGGAAGGGGGTGAAGAATTCAGTGCAGAATTCCTTTTCTTCCCCCGCCCCCAATAATGCTGGGACTTCTTCCTCTTAGGTTTAAAGAGGCAAGCAGCCGTAGCCATTGTCCAGGAACTGAAGAAAGTTGCGTTTTCCAGGCCTGGCCCTACCCAGTGGATCAACAACGTACACAGAAGAAGTTCTCTTCTAGGCAAGTAGAATAGAATTGCCTTTTTTTTTCTTTCCAGAAAGCACCTCCCCTGTTTTGAGTGTGCTGGCAGTGATGACGGAAGATTGTGGTGTCTTTGATTTCCATTTCTTAAATTTAATTCAATTGTGCAGGTTCGAGGCTGGAGGAGAACCCTTTCAGTGATATGGAGATGTCCTACATCAAGCAAGGAGAAGAAGCTATCCAGAAGTCTCTGAATATTCTTGGCGAAAAAAGCGGCTGGAAAACGGAGGCAGTGATGGTACGCGTTAACAGTTCTCCAAGAGGAGACTATTAAGAGATAGTGACAAATTTTAGGTTGCTGTAAAGTAGAAATGTTGAAATGGAGTAAGAAATGGCTGGTCGTAGCATTATGAGCAGCAATAGAAATCTGTTAAGTACAACTTAATTAGGTCTCTCAGCTGAGCCAGAGGAACTTCAAGGATGACTCTGCGTACAGCCTATGACAGTAGTACAGCTAGAGGTGTCTCAGAATGTCGGCGTATCCCATGAATACCTACCAATTAAATTGTTTATTCCTACAGGGCAATGGTGACAAAGTCTTGAGCAAAGTGTTGCCTGACGTAGGGAAAGTTTTCCAGCTTGAAGTAGTAGTTGATCAACCCCTGGATTGCGTCTATGATGAGTTAGTGGAAAAGATGGAGCAGATGGGAGACTGGAATCCGAACATTAAAGAAATCAAGGTAAGGCTTCTGCTGTTTGTTGTTGTTGTTAATTGCGAAGTCGTGTCCGACCCATCGCGACCCCATGGACAACGTTCCTCCAGGTCTTCCTGTCCTCTACCATCTTCTGGAGTCCATTTAAGCTCACGCCTACTGCTTCAGGGACTCCATCTAGCCACCTCATTCTCTGTTGTCCCCTTCTTCTATTGCCCTCAATCTTCCCCAGCATTAGGCTCTTCTCCAGGGAGTCCTTCTTTCTCATTAGGTGGCCAAAGTATTTGAGTTTCAACTTCAGGATCTGGCCTTCTAAAGAGCAGTCGAGGTTGATCTCTTCTAGGACTGACCGGTTTGAACGCCTTGCAGTCCAAGGGACTCGCAGGAGTCTTCTCCAGCACCATAGTTCAAAGGCCTCAATTCTTTGTCGCTCAGCCTTTCTTATGGTCCAACTTTCAGAGACCCTTTTTGGAAAGGAGGAAAAATTGCAAGGATTATTAAGCACGTGTCCCTTTCAAAATGTTTAGAAGCAAAACTATTCTTTAGTTTTCAGAGAGAATAGCAATAAAGTAAAATGATACCCAGAGTTAAATTGCTGGAAAATATTCAGTGGGGATTGGGAGATTCCGTTCCCCAAATGTTGAATCATAATTCTGGGCATCTTTCATTCTTGACCACAGGCGCTTGGATTGTAGTGGCAGGAGACTGTAGTTCAGCAACATCTGGAGAATCTCAAGTTCAAAACCCTGATGTACAATAAGTTCTACTTCTAACATGAGCAAGGGAAAGTGCAAAAATAAAATTTGCCAACAGCTAGGGGTTGAGCTGAACATTAGTTACTCTACCACTCTTTCGATGTGTTCTATCTCTCACTATTTTGTGGGAAAGGTTCCTCCAATATTTTGATTGTGTGTAGTCAGAGATGCCCCAGCTTCTGAGATAGTTTTGGGGCACGTAAACAAACAGCTCCCAAATGTAGGCAAGAGGAGAAACTTGCTTGTAGTATCTCCTTCTCTACAGATGAAAGCATACATTTATTGCCTCTTCCGTGACGTTGACCCTTTCACCTGTTACCCAAAGCTGAAGTCATTCTACATTTTTGAAAGGCACCATTTTTCTTTCTCCATAAAAAATTTGCTTTGTCTTTTTAATGGTCCGTTGCACAATCAGCCAGATGTTCAGATTAGATTCGGCATTTTTATCCACCTACTAAGTCCTTCCCAAGGACCTGGGATAGGCAAATGTAATGTTGTTGTTGCTGTTATTAAAATGGCCATCTTTTCATAGATTCTCCAGAAGATTGGCAAAGATACCGTGATCACTCACGAGACCTCAGCGGCAATTCCTGGCAACGTGATTGGTCCACGAGACTTTGTCAGCGTCCGGTGTTCCAAACGGCGTGGCTCTACATGCCTCTTAGCGGGCATGTCAACCACCTACACCGCCATGCCAGAACAAAAAGGAGTTATCAGGTACCCCTTGCCTTTACTTAAACTACATAGTTCAGGACCAACTCTAGGTCCTTGTATCAGAATCCTCCTTAGCAATCCTGAAAAAATACAGGAGTTGTAACCCAAGACTAGAGAGCATCAGGGTAAGAAAGGCCACCCTATTACTAAGACTCAAACTTAGTAACAATATGGCTACTAATGAGACGACATCTCACGTCTTCTCTTCAGCTGATGTGCTGAAATATGCTGACATGTTGAAGGTGTCAATGGAAGGAGAGGTGATGTGGTAGATTTCAGTAAAATGGCAGTTTTCCAGGAGGGAGGGAGAACTTTCAAAGGAGGGGGCGGGAGCCAAAGCAAGAGGCAACACAGACCAGAGCTGGATCAAATATGGAGGAAGACAGTTAGAATAGCCACTCCCTAGAATCTCCCTGGGTATAATCCGTTAGGATGGGAGTAGTAAGAGTTTAGTCTGGCAAGATTCTGTCTGTTGAGTGTAAGCAAACAAAGAATTGAACTTTGGCCGGGTTATTCCTTGTCGTTCTTGGGTAACTTGTTTTCTTTCTTTTCTGCAGAGCGGAAAATGGTCCCACATGCATGGTTCTTCATCCAGTTCTGGGAAATCCCTCACAAACCAAGTTAACCTGGCTTCTCAGCATTGATTTAAAGGTAAAGATATAGGACAAACCAGGTTGAATCGTGGTGACCCATTACTTTTACAAAAACACTTCCATGCCATCTTACAATGGCTTGTGGTGTTACAGCAGTGCACAGCTTAAATGGGGATATTTGTATTGTCTAAAAGAAAGTTAATCCTGAACTGATGGTAGTTCCCTCTCCCCCCCCCATCATCATTAAAAGGAATAAGGAAGATTATATATAAAGCCCTCTATCTGCAACTGTCCCATTTTAAAATGAGTTACTGGGAATAGGAGGAGACGAGTCTTCCTTTTGTGTAAATATTATACTTTTGATTTTTTTAAAAAAATAAAAATTCTCCCCTCGGGAAAAAAAAAGTGCCAAAAGTTTGTTCTTATTTGCAACTGTGAACAATGTCAACATCTCAACTAACAAGAGAATCACAAAGTACAAAGATATATGGATTCACAATTTGATTAAATATCTACATGGAGAATTGGATAAGAAATAAACTCCCCTTCTGTTTTCATAGCTGAAACTTATCAGTACAGGTAGTCCTCGACTTACGACCACGATGGAGCCCCAAATTTCTGTTGTTAAGTGAAACATTTGTTAAGTGAGTTTTGGTCCCTTTTACCTTTCTTGCCTCAGTTGTGAAGTGAATCGCTGCAATTGATAAGTTAGTAACCTGGTTGAGTGAACCTGGCTTCCCCATTGACTTTGCTTGTCAAGAAGGGTGCAAAAGGGAATCACGTGACTTTGGGACACCACAACGGTCGTAAGTACGAACCAGCTGCCAAGCATCTGAATTTTGATCACGTGATCATGGGACGCTGCAGAGATCGTAACTGTGAAAGATAGTCATAAATCATATTTTTCAGTGCCGTTGTAACTTTGAACGGTGACTAAACGAATTGTTGTTAAGTCGATGACAACTTTCAGGCCAGAAACATAAAAGTCCTTAATGCAGGCTTAATAAAGTTACTAAATTTATAGGTTCAGTCCCCAAATTGTAGCTCTACAGAAGCTGTTGAACTACTAAGTTTCTTTTTCTTGACATGGAGCTTGAGTCTGCTTCTAACTGCATAGCAACCTGGTTTAACATTCCCCCCCTTTTTTTTTTAATTCCAGGGATGGCTTCCAAAGACACTGATCAACCAAGTTCTTTCTCAAACCCAGATGGATTTTGCTAACCACCTCCGGAATCGTTTGACCAAATCTACATCTGCGCAAGCCCTCCGATACTAAAATTTCCCCTCCTGTCAATTTTTCCTGGATGATGGTCTGACTTCAGCCCAGTAACGAATCACTGACTGAAGACTGTATCCCAGAGAATTGATGAGCACCACTCTTGAACTTTACTCCTCTCTCCTGTTAAGAGGCAAACTTCTCTCCTTTATGTTGCATCCTTATGTTTCAGAGCCTTTCCTTAGAAAGAGGTGCACAAAGTTTGTGTTCAGGGCTCTGGCAGAATAAGATACCCGCCTCAGGTAGCAGGCACTGAAGGTGATACCAAGTGATATCAATGGTGGCACTTTGCTGGGACTCAAAAGGCTAGCTATTGCTTGATGGGCAAGGTGTTGCATCTTCTAAATTCTGAAATACATAAGGCAAGGTAAACTGTACTGAGAAGGCTGCCTGAGTCTAAGTCAGGGGTATCAAACTCGCAACGTCACGTGATGTGTCGCAATGTGTCGCAACTTTTTCCCCATTGCCGGCAATGGAGTGGGCATGGTTTCGGCATGACGCATCCTGCCTGTGTTTGACACCCCTGGCTAAGTTTGACACCTCTGGCTAAGTGATAGGCTACAGTAGGACACAACTAGAGTTTAAGACTAAGAGAGGAAAGAGCCAGCATTTTTGATGAACAGATTACTGTTCCACCTGGATCATACTGCACGGGTTCTCTATACCGAGTTTAGTATGCAGTGTGCTTGGAATGGGTTAATCTATCTTGGCTACTTATCGATAACATGCCAGGTTTGATCTGTAACCTCTTCATTTTAAGCAACTGACAGGAACCAAGAGATGAGAAAGAGCTTTGCAGGATTTGGAGAATTATGCCAATAAGTAACTAGGCAGACAGTCTGACTTGCAGTAAGGCTGTTCCAAAATAGGAAAAAGTATCATGTCCAGAGTGATGCCTTAGTTAAAAGATGCTGGCCATCACCTTCTCTAAATACCTTGACTCATCCCAGCTTGGCAGCTGGGGTTTGTATCCAAGCAGCCATTTTTACAACCCCCCCCCCCCAAGCTGCTACAGAGGCAGCTATCATATCCTTCCCCATCATTTGCAACCTATTTCCATGCCAGGATATTACTACCAATGGAAGGTTCCGACAGGTGCCCAACCTGTCTCTTTTTTCTATTTTTGACTACTATGGAATGGCTCCTAAATCTAGGACAAGGTAAAGATTAATTCAAGGGTCACTAGTTCCTATGATACACTTAAGTGGAGTTAATTAAATTCTGCAATATATTGGCTTTATTTAAGCTGACTTTAAATCTAACTCCATTAGTTGATCTGGTCAACTAATGTTCTTTTGATATTTTCACAGAACATTAAGTCTTCATGGATTCAGTTTAAGTGTACCGTGGGAACAGAAACTATGCATAGTATTAAATTATGGTCACTGCCTAATTATTGTTGGAGAGTAGATCCCTCTCATCCCTTCCATCTTCTGCCTGATTTGTTTGCTGCCCTTTGAAAGGCCAAGAAACCAATCAGTTATTGTTTTCCAGCTCTTCCTATTTTCTTCTTTGAAGATGGATAAAATGGGAAGTTCCAAAGATTAGCATGAAGATAATTCACCCGTCCTTGGCAAGTAAGATAGACCAGTATTTTTTAAAATTTGGCAACTTTAGGTTATGTGGACTTCGACTCCCAGAATTTGTCAGCCAGCATGGAGTTTGAAAAAACACTGGAATAGATGCACACTGTTGCTAACTCTTGATGCCAATTCTGTCCTAGGTTTTTCAAACATGCTACTCAATTTTGTCTGAACTTTAGTCTAAAGGGAAGGGTGAAAAGTTACTCGTTTCCCCCCCCCCCCCAGATCAACCAAAACTGGCAGATAGTCCTTGTCTGATAACGTCACTAAACATCAGAGCTGATGGTAGCTTAAGTTTTAAAAGCCACGTAACAATTATGCCCTCCAAAATTTCACAATAGAAAACAGAGCCAGTTTCAAGGATTTGCAACACTGCTGTTTACTTGCTACGGAACTCCGCTTATTCTGCCCTTGTTATGTACTGCAGAAGCTTAAGTCTCTGCTTGCAATGAATCTGAAAAAAAAAAGTCTGTTCTGCACTATTTTAATAAGAGGATTTTGCTTGGGGGTTTTTGGGCAGAGGGGGTGTTATTAGAAAACCATAATTGTGCTATCGTTTATTACCAACCATTCCAAATCTAATTCAGCATCTGTAGCAGACCAAATAATGACTTTATTCTAATTCCCTCCATTATGATGCCCCTCCCCCCCACCAAATTATCACCAATGGGAAATCTGTCCCCATTAACAAACATTTACATCAGAGATTGGTCTTTACTCACCTTGTTGGACAGAAGAAAAGGATAAATGCTAGTTAAGTTGTTAAAAACCTGTGTTTGAAGTGTTCAGAAGGAGTGTCTCATGTCACTTCATTTACCTCAGGAGTCACTAGCAAGGTTAATTCAAACCAGGAAGACTTTCCCACAGCCATCTACAAAATCCAGTCTGTCAATATTTATTTTCCCTCCCTCTCGTTTGCAAAAGGCGTTTTATTTAATTATTTATTCTAGTTAAGATTTGTGAAATGTTTTCCGATTCATAGTTTCCATCACTTCAACCAACCAACCAACCTACTCTGAGATGTGTGGAGAATCTGGCGTACTAACACACAGTTCCAGGTAGTCCTCGACTTACGACCGCAATTGAGCCCAAAATTTCTGTTCCTAAGTGAGACATTTGTTAAGGGCGCTTTGCCCCATTTTACAACCGTTTTTGCCACAGTTGTTAAGTGGATCGTTGCAGTTGTTAAGTTAGTAACACGACTGTTAAGTGAATCTGGCTTCCTCATTGACTTTGCTTGTCAGAAGGTCGCAAAAGGGGATCACGTGACCCCGGGACTCTGCAACCGTCAGAAGTACGAGTCAGTTGCCAAGTGTCTGAATTCTGATGATGTGACCACGGGGATGCCGCAACAGTCACGAGTCACTTTTTTCAGCGCTGTAACTTTAAACGGTCACTGAATGAACTGTTGTTAAGTTGTGGACCACCTGTATGCATTTTAACATACATGAAAAAGTACTTTCTTGTGATCTGAGCAATGCAAAGGTATAGCTACAAATCAAATTAGTGCTTTAGATCTAACAAAGCAGCAGCTCTGTGGTTATAATTTCGTGAATTTACGCTGTATGAATAAAAAAATAAAAAAATTAAAATAAAGCATGTTGTGGTGTGCTTTGTTCAAAGGAGCACTATCTATAAGGGCCGTTATTGTCATTTCCAAACCACAAACAGGGGCAATTAAAAGATTAATTCAACCCCTGTTGCTAGCTGCCAGGTTTGTTCTTGCAAAACATAGGAAAACTAAAATACATATTTGGGTAAATATGCCCTCAATTTCAAGCGTAGGAAACTGCTTTGGTTGAAAAATTTAACCCAATTAAAGGACTTTAAAAACCCTACCAAGAAAAACAATCAAAACTGTGCACAATTTATTAGCTAAATTAGCAATATTTTCCCCCTCCTCCAAATGACCTTTCTCTATGGGTGAATGCACAGTCCCATACTTTACTTTTTTTTCAATCTATTTGCTTTTAACTTAGTAGTTTTTTGTTTTGTTTCTTTACTAAAACTGAAACTAAAAATTACCAATGCACTGTGATATAAAAAAATGTGCAGTAATAAACATATCAGGGTTTGTCCCATCAAGACATCGTTGTCTTACATACATACGTGCAAAATAGAGCTGGAAGGGACCTTGGAGATCTTCTAGGAGACCCTATACCATTCCAGACAAGTGGCTGTCTAGTCTCTTTTTAAAAGCCTCTGGTGATGGAGCACCCACAACTTCTGAAGGCAAGCTGTTCCACTGGTTAATTGTCCTCACTGTTAGGAAGTTTCTCCTTAATTCCAGATTGCTTCTCTCCTTGATTAGTTTCCATCTATTGTTTCTTGTCCTGCCTTCTGGTGCTTCAGAAAATAAGTTGACCCCCCTCTTCTTTGTGCCAGCCCCTCAAATATTGGAATACTGCTATAAAGTCATCTGTAGTCCTTCTTTTCTCTTTATGGGAAACAGACTAAATTGATCATTCCTTAACTTCTCTGTTATTTAGTTTTCGTGCCTACTTTTTCCCCTTAATGCATTTCAAAGACAGAGGTGAAAATACTGCATCCAGTTTTGGTCACCACGATGTAAAAAAGATGTTGAGACTCTAGAAAGAGTACAGAGAAGAGCAACAAAGATGATTAGGGGACTGGAGGCTAAAGCATATAAGGAAAGGCTGCTGGAATTGGGTATGTCTAGTTTAACGAAGAGAAGGACGAGGGGGGACATGATAGCAGGGGTCCAATATCTCAGGGGCTGCCACAAAGAAGAGGTAGTCAAGCTATTCTCCAAAGCACCTGAAGCAGGACAAGAAGCAACGGATGGAAACTAATCAAGGAGAGAAGCAATCTAGAACTAAGGAGAAACTTCTTGACAGTTAAAACAATTAACCAATAGAACAACCTGCCTCCAGAAGTGGTGAATGCTCCAACACTGGAAGTTTTTAAGAAGAGACTGGACAGCCATTTGTCTGAAATGGTATAGGGTTTCCTGCCTGAGCAGGGGGTTGGACTAGATGACCTCCAAGGTCCTTTCTAACTTTATTATTATTATTATTATTATTATTATTATTATTATTATTATTATTATTATTATTATTATTATTATTATTATTATTATTATTAGATAACAGCAGAGTTTGCATCTTTCTGTTATCAACCTCAGTGCAGGATATCCCTAGATCTTGACCTGGAAAAGGTCAATTTTACCTTTTTTGGGGGGGCGGGGGAGAAAGCTCCATTTTCTCTTAGGAGTCATTTTGGAAAGAAGAATATTTTCTGCTTATCTTGAAGAAACTCTTTATTTCTCACTGACTTACTGCTTGCTCTGCCTGCAGGAGGAAGAATTTAAAAAAAAAATAATGAAAAGGAAGATCGAAGAGCTGCACAAATCTAGAAACTTAAAAAAGAGACATTTATTACTTTTCCCCCTCTGCCACCACCAAGCGTGTTATTTTTTTTCCTTTTTTGTAAAAAATAAAAAATAAATACACCGCGTCTTTTAAGGCTCCCAAGGGGGACTGCGTCTCCCGTCAACTTCCGTTTCCACATGATACAGGACGTCTGCCAGCGTGTGTTCTACTACGGCCACCCAGCCCATGTCACTGACCTGCAGAAGGGGAGAAGAAAGGGCGAGTTGTTTTGGTTTAGTGTCCACGTACGAAGCAATTAAGATTTAGTTTGCATCGGCGCACTTTGAAAAACAGACGGATAACAGTCTGCAACAGAATATTAAGAGTCAGCCAATCAGTGCAATTCTTGACCTGATTTCAAAGGATGAGAGAGCGGGGACCCTGTTAATAGCAATAGCACCTTGACTTATATGCCGCTTCATGGCGCTTTACAGCACTCTCTGGGAGGTTTACAATGTCAGCAATATGGCCCCCAACAATCTGGGTCCTCATTTGACCAACCTCGGAAGGTTGGAAAACTGAGTCAACCCTGAGCCAGTCAGCATCGAACTGCTGGCAGTGCGCAGAGTTAGCCTGCAATACTACATTCTAACCACTGTGCCACCCTGGCTCCTTTATTACCCATTTCCTGGTGGAAGGACGAAGGCATTTTCAAAGATCATAACACATCGGTAACATATTGCAGGGCCTTTTGCAAAGCTGATTCTAATCTGGTAGCTCCTACATAGCCCTACATTTTTAAATTTCCTTTTAAAAAACAAAGTGATTTTTCATCTCTGCAGAAAAAGAGCTAGAAGAACATTGATTGTGCCTATTAGATTGTGCCCTCTAAGCTGATGGAATTGCTGTATTGCTTAGCGATGTTTTTAGTGCCTAACTTATTATCAGCAGAAATGGTTTAACTTAACAATTTCTGGTTGCAAAATACAGAGAATTTTAGCACAGAAGTCTCATTTGGCCTGTTCTTGAAATAACAAAAGGAATACAGAAGGGTGTTTGATTACATTTCAAGCTTACAAATTAAGTATGTGAAGAGGGAGAATGTCTTTTTACTTTCAATTACAGCTTGAGGAAAAAAAACAGTCACAGAGTAGAATAGGGCTTGTTCTTCCTTTAAGTTGGAAATCAAATCATATCCACAGCTATTTTTGTCCAAGGCTGAAACAGCATGTCTGAATGCTGTGAGTGAGACCAATAGGCAGCCAAACAATTTAGCAATTGGTGTGAATTTTTAGCATTTTCTTTTTTTAAAAAGAGAGGAATTCTTGCTGTCAGGATAAATGCGTAGCCAACTGAACTTAACCTTCAGAGCTATACATGGTCATTGCATAACTAGATTGGCAAACTTATTTCTTTATCTGTATAATTTTATACAGGGGGCAATGTGTATGTGTTATTCCTACTAGAAACAGAATTAATTTGGCCAATGAAACTGAGGCTTTCATTTACATGGAAAACGTTACAGATTACTTGCACATAAAACCTTGGATTACATCAAAAGTCACACATCATTCTGATCATGGACTTGCTTACCGGGCGATAACTAATATCTCTTGGCGGATATTTGAAATAGGGTCCGAAGTTGATAGAAACCTATGAAAGAGGAAGGATTTATTTTTGCTTATTTTCAATTACTGCATTGCTCAGTACCCCCTCCTGTGCCTGCAATATTTCAACGGGTATTATTGGGAGAAAAAAAAATGCAGCTGGAAAATTATAATGGAAAAGACTGAGGGACAAATTTACCCCAAATAAAACAATTTCTTTTTAAAAGGATCAAGTTTAAAAAAAAAAAAAGAAGGGGGGGAGGAGATCTACATGTAGCTTTACAGGGATCTTTTTTTGGTAAAGAATTACAGAAAAAAAGTTACTGTGCTGCAAATTTTTCTACTACTATAAAAAAATAGTATAAAAGTCAGACACTCCTATTTCTGTTTGTTGCAAGCAAACTCCCTTTTCAGTTATCAACCCAATAAAATATAAGCTTTTTTTCTTAACCATTGCAGGCAGTCCTTGACTTATGACCACAACCGAGCCCAAAATTTATATTGTTAAGTGAGATGTTTGTTAAGTAAGTTTTGCTCCATTTTACAAGGTGTTTTTTTGCCACATTTGGTAAGTGAATCACTGCATTTATTAAATTAGTAATTAAATTACTAACTGAACCTAGCTTTCCCACTGACTTTGCTCGTCAGGAAGGTCGCAAAAGGGGGGGAATCACACGACCCTGGGACGCTGCGACCGTCGTAAACATGAAGCAGTTATCAAGCATCCTAAGGTAAATCACATAACCATGGGGGGTGCCGCAAAGGTCACAGTTGTGGGGGAAATGGTCATTAAGTCACTTTTTCCAGTGCTGTTGTAATTTAGAATGCTGACTAAATGAACTGTTGTAAGTCAAGGACTTACAAGATGGCAGAGGACAGGAAGACCTGGAGGAACGCTGTCCATGGGGCTGCGATGGGTCGGACACGACTTCGCAGCTAACAACAACAACAAAGTCAAGGACTAGCTGTAAAAAGGTTTCGGGTGACAAATCGTATTAACAGCCTTCCTCCAGAAATGTGCATTTCTGCACATGCCGAAAAGAAATTCTTTCCCCACCCCCCCTTTCTTTCTCCTATTAGCCAGGTAAATTTGCAGAGGAGAAACTGTTATCTATTTTTCTCCCCTTAGTCTACATGCCAGTCTGAGCTCTCTCGACCTCAGACAGCTCCTGGGCTGTTGTTGATAAATGCAAGGCTGACTTAGGCAAGTATTTCTCCCAATGCGCTCACCCTTCGCTCCCATGCTTAATTCAAATCGGCTATTGTGGTCTTTTCAGTCCCATGATGAGCAGGCAGAGGAGATGACCTCCCATCGACTAACTCTTTGCAAGCAGATAAGGAGGGACACCGCGCAGCGGTTGCTGCCGAGAGGGGACCGGGGAGGTTGGGGGCAGGCACAATCTGGCATCAACAGATGTGTCACTGCTCCACAATCCTTGGGCTAGGATGAGCCTGCTTTCAAGGGTCAGGCCTTCACCCAGCATACCAAAGCCCCAAAGCCCCCACATTGGAAAGAGCTGTGCCCCACAGCTTCTACATACCGTGCAGCCTTTGTACAGAGATACTGCAGGGAAATAAACACCTTCAAAAACGTCTTTGTATGCAACTCCTTGACTGGTACCGTTCTTATAGAAGATTATCTAAAAAGAGACAAACATTGGTCACCACAAAGAGCAGAGCGTGACTATAATCTTGGGCAGATTTCAGTTTGACCTGCAAAATGACCTTTTCTTCCACTTGTTGTGCTTTAACGGCACACAGCATACAGGTCCTTTGGGTTACACCCTGTGTTTTCCTGAAAATGCAAAGAAGAGCTTCTGTACAGCATCCAGTGATAAATGAACTGCAAGATTTGACTCTTTGCATTTTATAAAAATGGAAAAACCATTTTTGGTGTTCCTAGGAAAACTTTTCTTAAGAGTTTGCCGAGACTAGAGAGGTGCAACCGGCAACTTTTTGGCATCTTCAAAATGCAGCTGACAAAGCTCTTTCTGCGGCTGAAGTACTATTCAGGATCCTGAGCTTTCCCAAAGTTCATTTAAAATAATCAGAGAAACATTTAAGCTCTTATAGTAGACACAGGGAGGGGGTGGGGATGGGGGGAAGGCCAGAGGAGAAAAGAAAACCCACAAACGTTTCAAAACTAAATTACACATCATGTAAAACACCCAAAGTTTTGAACAGTATCTTTTCAAACAGCATTTCTAAGGGGAAAAACTCTTGACAAGCTGTCCACAGAAATTACCATTTTTTAGTCTAATAACAGCCCTTGTTGAGGATACCTGAGTGAAAATATACAATCTCTTCACCATGGTATTGAACACAGGGACAAAACAAAAATCTTAAGGGGAGACTCCAGCGAGCCGCAATTTGACTCTGATACAGGCTTTGTTACAGATGCCTTTCATAAATTTGCATTGTGATTTAAGGCAGAAAGGAGGAATATGTAGTCTCCTGATATATCACCGGCCTTCCCATATTCCTCCACACTAGCTGCAACTCTCAGGATTTGCAGCTTAGTCATTTCTGAACAGCTCCAATTTCTCTCTCCTATTTTAGTCTCGTCTCCAAGCTAGATCTCACTGAATGACCCAAAGCATCTTTTTTTCCTTTTCCTTTTTTGGTGTGTGTGTGTGAGGGGGGGTTATTTTGAATGTCTGCACCAAGGCAGTGTATTAGACTCAAAGATGCAAAAGGCCTCTTCCAATTCTATGACACACAATTCTTTTTAGCAGCCCAGTTTCTGCTGCTAAAGGCCAACTTACTTGGCTTCCCAGAGCTTGCTTTAAACTTTTCTCAGCTTTATCCACAAAGTCCTTCTCTTCAAAGTACAGGTAGCTTTTGAACTTGATCAAAGCCTAAAGAGGGCAGGTGGGAGAAGACGTCAAAGCCAGAAATTCATTTGCAAAACAATGGTGAGACAGAAACGCAGCTGCTGAACTATCCACACAAATGTGACTTCAACTGATTAATTCGACAATTAATTCAGCAAGGGGTTTGCTCCTTGCTGTCTGTAAACCGAAGCCACCACCTTCAGCAAGAGTGAAAACATTCATGGATTGTGGTGGGCAAAAGAAAAGCACGTGGGCAACTATCAAATATCAAGGGCTGCAAATATGAGCTGTACTTTAAGGGGCGTTGCAAAGATCTGCCTCCTGAAAAAGTCAAGATAGAAATATATTTTAAACAAAACCACAAAACCGGCAGCCCTTGGTTTCATTCCTGCTTGCTATTTATGTGCAATGCAGTCTTCTGATTAAGGTAGAACAGCTCCTTCCTAGGTTAATGAAAAAATATAAAACCTCTCTCTTTTTGCAGTGTTTGTTGCAGACTGAAGAGAGAGCTCCATATTCAAGAAGATACTTGTCAGAGATGGCTTAGTTTTGATTCCTGCACTAGGCAGGAAGAACCCCGCCTTCTTGGTCTAGTGCAGGCAGGTCAAACACAAGGCCGGGGGGTGGGGGGGATGCGGTCCGCAAAGTGGTTTCATGTGGCCCCCGAAGCCATCCTGGAAACAGTGAGGGAACGGCCCCCGCTGCCTTGGCCCTGGCCCAGCCCAGCCGGGAGCTAATGTACAATTTTGTGGTGGCCATCTATGCTGAAACACATTCAGTCTTAGCTCCACAAGGCCGTCTGGAAACAGCGAGGAACCGGCCCCTGCCGCGTCGGCCCCGCCCCCTGGGTGCATGCTGGGGAGGTGTCACCCTTTGTGAGGAATGAAGAAAGGGACCATGCCTTGGCGCTTGCCCCGGTCCCACCCCCTTCTGCCAGAGACCCTCAGATCTGTCCCACTTCTGCCCAGACCCCCACAGGCACCCTTGATGCAAACGATGTAGAGCTGGTCATGCCCACCCAGTAGGTCACACCCACTCCATCCATGCCCACCTAGTAGGCTGCACCCACCCTGGTCACACACACCCGGCCCCCCCGAGGGTAACCACAATGCTGATGCAGCCCTCAGTGAAATTGAGTTTGACACCCCTGGTCTAGTGATTAAGGCACCAAACTAGAAACAAGGAGACTGTGAGTTCTAGTCCTGCCTTAGGCATGAACACTGGCTGGGTGACCTTGGGCCAGGCACTCTCTTCGCAGGCCAAGTCACCTCAGAACGGTTGTCATCTGGACACTAGGAAGAAGGCGGTTTAGATATGTTTGCCACCTTGAGCTGTTTATAAAAATAACAAAAGTGGGATACAAATTAAATAAACAAACACTTAGCTGCCCAGGTACATGGGCTTCTTAAGTTACACATACTTAAAAGTACCTATGCCGGTTCTCTTATATAACTTACAACCCTAAGACATGCGGCCCCGTTAGTTTCCCGGTTTATTCTAGAATTTCAGTGAGGAATTCCAGAGTTCTTATGGCATCCTACGGAAAACGCCCAGCCACCTCTATTAAAACGAGGCTGAGTTAGAAGACCCACCTTGTCTTTGTAAGTATCCGGCAGGGATTTGGCTGTTTCTGTGTCTTCAGGAAGGCTGATATAAAAACCGAGCACGTCCCCCTGGCCGTAACCTGATGAGTAGTGTTTGCCGATGGACTGGTGGAACTTGGTCCCTTTCTTGCTACGCCAGGAGTAGCTGAATTTGTCGTAGCCCAGGGGAGCTTGAAGGTTTCCTGTAGAAAACCAAACGTTGTGTTTGTCAAATGCCTGATTGCATTTGTTTACTCAATACTTCAAAATGTTATCCGGGTGGGTGGGTGAAGGATTAGGAAGGGGGGACTGTCTTCCAGTACTGTTTTCCAAAGCACCTGAGGGCAGGACAAGAAGTAATGGGGGGAAGCCTGTTAAAGAGAGATCCAATCTAGAAATAAGGGGAAATTTCCAAAAAGTGAGAACAATTAATCAATGGAACAAATTGTCTCCTGGAGCTGTGAGTGCTCCATCACTGGAGATTTTCAAAAACAGACTGGACAACCATTTGATTGGGATGATATAAGATCTCCTGCTTTGAGCAGGGAGTTGGACTAGAACACTTCTGAGATCTCTTCCAGCCCTATGATTCTATGTTCTATGTAATTCCTTTTCTTTTAATGACCGTGTAATCCCTTGGATGTGAAAGTTGGACCATAAGGCTGAGCGACAAAGAATTGAGGCCTTTGAACTATGGTGCTGGAGAGGACTCCTGCGAGTCCCCTGGACTGCAAGGCGATCAAACCGGTCAGTCCTAGAAGAGATCAACCCTGACTGCTCTTTAGAAGGTCAGATCCTGAAGATGAAACTCAAGTACTTTGGCCACCTAATGAGAAGGAAGGACTCACTGGAGAAGGGCCTAATGCTGGGAAAGATTGAGGGCAATAGGAGAAGGGGACGACAGAGAATGAGGTGGCTGGATGGAGTCACTGAAGCAGGAGGCGTGAGCTTAAATGGACTTCAGAAGATGGTAGAGGACAGGAAGGCCTGGAGGAACGTTGTTCATGGGGTCGCGATGGGTCGGACACGACTTCGCAATTAACAACAAATCCCTTGCATTGGGGTAGAGTCGGGGCAACTGAAAGGAGCTGAGCATTTACTGGCTGGATGCCCTTCCCGACACCTCTGCGGTGTTTGCAGCAGACAATTACATAGTGCCTAGAGAAATATCTGCCGCTACCTAGGATCGAACTCACAGCCTCTTGACTGTGAGGCAAGAGCTCCACCTCTAGGCCACCGTGAGATGATTCTATGTTCTATGGGTAAGGAAGACAAAAAGGAGAAAGGGCCTGTGACAAAGCCCCCTTGCCCAATGCCTGCAACCTACCGTGAGGTTCTCAATGGGAGAAAGGGACAGGTCGCAAACTAATGAAAGGAGGAGCGGCAGGCTTACCTAAAGGCTGAGACCACCCAAGTCTCGCAGCCGTGTCAGGTGGCATCTCATCCACGGATATTTCAAAATACCAAGC